CTGGTGATGTAATTTTCTCAACATAGATATATCATATTATTATTGTGCCTGTAGCTGGATGGGGAAAAAGCAAGAAAAATTAGCCCGGCGCTAAAAGCTCTTACCAGGCGTGCTGTTTATTTGCTAACCTGTTACCTGCTTATAATTAGAATTAATCAATTATATTGCATTTTCAGGTGGCTCCCTATGAGCGCCCTGCACTAAGCAAAGCATACCTTTTTCCTGAGGGTAAGTTCTTTATTGGAAATTAGTTTCAACAGAATACTATCTGAACCAATTTTAAGATAACTAGCTTAGAAGTCTTACTGTCACTTGAATTTCTTGACTCTCTATATGTTGAAACTTTCTTAATTGAGACTAGTTCAATTTCTTCAGGAACTGCTAGACTCCCAGGTTTTCATGTTTGTGTTGGCAGTGGAGGGGAGAGACTGCTGCCTGAGTGGTACCCGGAGAAAGGTAGAATTCTGGGGAATCATGATTTATCTGCTATTTTTTATGCGTAACAATGCAAGTGCCTGGGCTTGCTCTCATTATTTTGTATATTTCTTCATCCATAGCTTCAGAATGAAGTTGAATCTGTTTACAGAGCTTATTCTGATGTTCCAGGGATATCATTGATCCTGAGCACAGAAATAGTAAAAGCAGACCTTCCTTCAAAGACACTCATTAGTGCAGCTGGGGAAACATTTAAGTATGAAACGCTTATCATTGCAACTGGTTCAACAGTAAGTCCCTAATCTGCAAAGTTACAACTAAACAGGGAATTATTTACGTTTTGACTTTGTGCCCCTTGCTCTTTATATCAATTCAACATTTCTGCAGGTTATAAAGTTGTCCGACTTTGGTGTCCAAGGGGCTGATGCCAAAAATATTTTATACTTGAGAGAAATTGATGATGCTGATAAGCTTGTAGAAGCAATAAAGGAAAAGAAAAATGGCAAGGCTGTGATTGTCGGAGGAGGATACATTGGTCTTGAGCTTAGTGCAGCACTGAGAATCAACAACATTGATGTCAGTATGGTTTACCCAGAGCCCTGGTGCAGTAAGTGGAAATTATTTCATCATCTCATGCTTTATTATAACCGTCCAACTTTTGAAATTTATACTCATGGTTAGTTAATGAATTCCTATATTTTTCTGGAACCAATATCAAGGGGACTTGAAAGATTATTATTGGTGAAATAGGACATAAAATTTCTGTAGGCCACTACTTGGTCAAACATATTTTATTTGGAGAACTGGGCATTTACTTCGTCACTGCTATAGAGGAAAGTGGGGCATCTTGTTTTGAATGCCAATGAAGTACAACTTATAGCATGTATTGTGTACTCTTAGTTGTTTCTGCTTGACCCAGTCAATCATATGATTCTGTAGTGCCCAGGCTTTTTACATCCGATATAGCTGCCTTCTATGAGGGTTATTATGCGAAGAAGGGAGTCAAAATCATCAAGGGTACTGTAGCTGTTGGATTTGATGCACATGAAAATGGGGAGGTATAATACATATCCTTATGAACCGTTCCAAATTCTCCAGTAAAGAATTTTATTTACGAGCATTATAGAAATCAAACACTGCAATCATGCGCCCTTTTATAGGTTAAAGCAGTGAAGCTGAAGGATGGTAGGGTTCTGGAAGCTGACATAGTTGTTGTTGGTGTGGGAGGAAGACCACTGATAACTCTGTTTAAAGGACAAGTTGAAGAGGAGAAAGGTGGAATTAAGGTGCGCTGTCTCCTTTCAATGTTTTGTGATTTTTATGTTCCAACCTTTCTGGCTTGCCCTGTGTGTTTCCTCATGGTGTAGATTCTGAAATTAGATTATATGATAAAAGATTTAGTGTCTATGTCTTGTTTGCACATTTGAATAGATTGCCAGATGTCATGTTCTCTCCTTTTTGGAAGCTGGAAAACATATGAAGTACTGTTGCTATAATTCATGGCATATCCTGTTATGATATTAATTTTCATCAAATCACATGGTTTTTTTTTAATGTGGTAGTGGTGGTAAAAACTTGATTATCGGCCTGTTCTCAACTGATTTTTTGGAACTGCTTTAGCTTCTGATTCTAGAGAATCTGTTATACAATGTTCTCAACTGCTTTATCTTTCTGCTTTTGGCTTTTTCAATTCTGAATTTGGTTTTTTAAAAATTAACTTTAGAATCAGTTGAGAATAGGCCCAAGCATTTCATGAAGTCCTTGTCACAAACGTTCATGATTATTGCATGGTCTGAATGAGTTTTTCTTTCTTAGTTATTCGAATATAAAAAAGATTAATATTTTTCTTAATCAGTTTAATGTCAGTATGTCACAAACAGTGTGGATGTTACATAGAGATTGCCTTTTTGTTGCAGGCTGATGGATTCTTCAAAACAAGCATACCTAATGTATATGCTGTGGGTGATGTTGCTACTTTCCCTCTGAAACTTTACAATGAGATCAGGAGAGTTGAGCATGTTGATCATGCTCGCAAATCTGCTGAACAGGCTGTGAAGGTATTTGTTGACCTTTTTCTGAGTTTAGTAATTTAAATTCTGCTCTGATTCAATGTACATTTTTTTTTATGTGGGTTATTTGAATGTCATTAGACTGAAACAAAAAGAGTTTGCCAAAGCCCAAAACTGTGACAAGTATCATCTTTCTTTCTCTTCCCTTCCGATTCAATTCTCTTGATTCATGTCTTCATTTGATGAACTCTGGAAATCGTCTAAAATGTCCACAGTTTCCTAAGACAGCCTACTTTCTTCTTTTGATGATGAAAACTTGCAGCAGGACTTGCTCTAGGCAACTTTTTTAGTTTTTCGGATGTCTTAATAGCAATGAACCTTAAAAATCCGTGTCTTCCATTTTGTCACATTTTCCATGAAATATTTCCCAGAGAAAGATTAAAAAAAAGTTTGTGCATTTCCAATTACACAAATGAAAGCCAATAACTGATAAGAGACGTCTTATCTGAGCAGGCAATTTTTGCAAGAGAACAAGGGAAGTCTATTGATGAGTACGACTATCTCCCATACTTCTATTCTCGTGCCTTTGATTTGTCATGGCAATTCTATGGTGACAATGTTGGAGACACAGTGCTGTTCGGAGACAGCAGTCCAGATTCTTCTACTCACAAATTTGGATCATATTGGATCAAAGATGGGAAGGTCGTTGGTGCATTCTTGGAGAGTGGCACCCCTGAAGAAAACAAGGCAATTGCCAAAGTTGCAAGGGTGCAGCCCCCAGTCGACAACTTGGATGAGTTGGCAAAGGAGGGTCTCACTTTTGCAAGTAAGATTTGAAGGTCTTATTACGTATGATCGGGGGCTTCTACAGGGTAATTCTATACATGGTCTCCGTAGTTTTTCTTATGAGCTGACGACGTCCCCTGCAGTCGATGGTCGGCTTTTGCCCAGTGTAAAGTTGGATATTACGGATCCAATTGTGCTTACAACTTGTTTCCCTTTCTCTGGAAGGATTTATATGTAAACTACGAGCTTTTAAAGTCATTGACCAGGTCTCTTTGTTTGTGTGATGTATTTTCTGTTACTGAATATTCTCCGGTGAATGAAATAACGAGCTGAGAATTTAGGGCACGACCTCTTTAGTCAATGACTGAAATTTTTTTCAAACTATATAAGTTGTTTTACCAATGTCAACCATCCAAAAGCCGTATACATTGTTGTGTAATAGGAATCCCAGCTTAAATGCTTCCCCACCCAGTAAAAAGGGGGGGGGGGGGGTTGGACAGTGGTGCTTAACCAAGCATGAAGTATGGGAGAACTCTACAGCAGTGCTAAGATGTTTAGGCTTTGTTACAGTTACACCCCTTTGGTGAAATTTGAAAATTATTTCATTTGGCATCATCGATACTTTCTCCAAGTTATCAAGATTAAAGTACGGCTCGTTTTTACTTCCAACTTTAGCAGATACTCTGATACATTGCTTTTGTGACAAGGTGTTATGTAATTCTCCTTTTCTTTTCAAAAGAATAACTAGCAAAATGCTTTCCCATGTACTTGGACCGTATGAAAAGTTAATACACATTATTACGTTGTTAAATGTAAGAATTTGTCATTTTATGAGAAAAAGTAAAAGACGCTAAATGTGTGTATGAGATATTAGTAATAAATGTTGGGAAAGAAATTAACAATAAGTTTGTGGACTCTTGGTATTCCATTTGGATTAAATCTATTTAATCAATTGCGCAAGTTGCAACTTGAAATTTTTTATTTATGCAAACAAGTCTATATTTGTTCCACGTCATTTGTTTTATCCTAATCATTTGTATTTTATACAGATAAGATACCTCTATACGGAAGGTTAACATTTTAGGTGCTAAAACTTAAAAAAAAAAAAAACAAGTAAAATCTATCTGAAATATTTTAGAGGTTGACCACATTACAAGTCCTTGTATTAGCCAATTAGCAAAAAGTTCTAATAAATTCTCACCGCTTTCAAATTCCACAAACAAATAATAACAAATACTTCGTCTCAAGATTTAATTAATTTTAATCATTTTGTAGTTCCGTGCATAGCATGCGTTGTAAAAAATTAACAAATTGTTTGTCATTCCCATTCACAGAGTACTCTGATTTTAGTAATAAAATAACTGAGAGAGAAAATTATTTTATTAATATTTTGTGCATTTCATTGATCATTAGATTAAATTGAAGCGAGTTTAAAACTTTATGGAACTAAATGTTCCAAACTAAGGTTTAAGGACCGAAACGAAAATGGGGTATAGCCCGACTGTTCAAGGTGCAAAATTGAATTAAACCTTTTTCGCCCATAAAAAAAATTTTTTTTTTTTGGAATTGCATAGACTATTTTTCCAATTAGTAAATGTTGTGCAGCTAGCTATCCTCCTAAAAAAAAAATAAATAAATAAAAACTTGAAAATCGGAATACAATTTAGCTGGTGTTAAAACGCGACCCGCTCTAAAGCCACTCCTTTCCTGGCCCGGATAGGAATACGGGTCCAATCAGACCCGACCATAATTTCCTAGTCCCGCATAGCAACTAAAAACCAACCAGAAACCCTAGCTATATATACAAAGGATCGAGCGTTTACATCCCGAGCATCATCCTCGCAATTTCCAGCTCCATTGCCTTCACAGATCTAAAGCTGCCCAGGTACACACCCCATCTCCAACAGGATTACCCTTGCTAGATGAGATTTTGTATCGTTTCAATTAGTGTGCCTTTGAAGTAATATCTACTTTATTTGAGGATTGACGTCTGTTTTAACACTTGTATTTAAATGGGCAGAAAAAAAAGAATAGAAAGGAGAAAGAGATGAAGGTGGTAGCAGCTTATTTGCTCGCTGTTTTGGGCGGCAACACCTGCCCCTCCGCTGAGCATGTCTCCAATATCTTGAGCTCTGGTACTGCAAATGACTGTTGTATTTCGTTATGCACATGTGTGTATAAATTTGACAAATTTAAATTGTTGGACTTTTTTTTGCTACTTTCAAGATGGTTGCAAACTCTACCACGGTTCCAACTTCTAATTAATGACACTTTAACGGGAATTCCATTTTTTTTTTAGCAAAATGTAAGTACTTTTTAAAGTTATATTGGAATCAGTGCTTAGTTTTTGAATGCATGCAAAACAATGGCAATATCTGAATGACCTTTCCATGATGTCTGTTATGGGCGCAGTATGGTTGGATACTGATATTATGCTATTAAGGCCTGTGGTAGATACATTTGTTGTTGGAGAATGTTTTGCTCCATATGGCAGTTGATATCATTTTGGGCTAGTACTGAGGTTCCTTGAGATATTTTAGTTTGTGTGTCATGCTTTTCGCTTTTGGGGCTTTATTTTTATGAGGTTCCAATCATTAATAATGTGCAGGTTGCCATGGGAATTGCCTGTTCCCCCATCTGTATTTGTTGCATGGGTTGTGTCATCTTTCCTTTTCTAACTGGGGGTTATTGTGGGTGGTCAGTTGGAGCTGAAGCTGATGAGGATAAGATTGAGCTCCTTTTGTCACAAGTCAATGGCAAGGATATCACAGAGCTTATTGCAGCTGGCCGTGAAAAGTTGGCATCCGTACCTGCTGGTGGTGGTGGGGCTGTTGCAGTAGCAGCTGCTTCTGCTGGTGGTGGCGGTGCAGCTGCTGCTGCTCCAGCTGCAGAGTCCAAGAAAGAGGAGAAGGTGGAAGAGAAAGAGGAATCTGATGAGGTATGATTAATTCTCATACTGTGCAGTACTGGTTTTTTTTCCTCTCTGATCACAGTTGTTAAAAATTTCTGCCTATTATATGGCTTGGTTTGCTATAATATTGTTGACACAAATGACATGGGATTGTGAGGTCATGATAGTCAGTGCGGTTTTATCATTTTGATCTGCAAAAATTGTTATGCTGAGATGATTAAATTGTTTATGCACCTCTTCTTTGATATCAAACCTTTACTCTCACTTGATTGAAATGGTTTTGCTAGTTCCATCTACTTGGTCAAGAGGCCTGTTAGCACTCGGACCCATTTGCAGCGGGCTATCTACATTTATTGACCATTATTCTTTTCACCGTTGACTAATTTTTCCTTGTTTTAGGTTTATCTTTTTCAAGTTTTGGCATCTGACATTTCCATCCTTCCAATTTTTTGTAGGATATGGGCTTCAGTCTCTTTGACTGAAGGGTTGCAGTGTTTATGGATTCTCTACATTAGGGACAAAGCGGGAGGTTATTCTTTTTTTCGTTTGGTTTTGGAGAGTAACTTTAGTTTTGGTTTTCTTAGTAGTTGGTGAAGTTACGACAAAGCTGAAAATGCAACAGGACGCAATTTTGGTCTATTTTTCTGCTGTAGAATTGGAAGCTCTTCTTTCTTAGGATTGCTCTTTTACTCATCCTTTTATCATTTCGTATCTGGTAATACAGTGGTTGAAGTAAAACCCAATCAATAGGCAAACTGTTTTGAAAGTGGGATGCATTCTTGCAAAAGTTTTTTCTGCATTTTACCACCTCCCTGCTCTCCTTGGTTCTTTAACTGATAGAAATTTTGTGTAATATGATAGCTATTCGAGACGGGAAACCCGACTTTACAGTTCATGGTGGTTTGTAGTAAGAAACAGAGAGAAGAATACAAGCACAATTTATAATTGAATATGCTGCGAATGTAACAAAACTAGGTGTGTTGTTGTTTGCAATTGTCTACGACTTTGTGGTTTGGATAGCTGATATGCGAAATGTCCTTTAGATTAACAAGAATAGCTAACCGTGACCGGACCATGTTGGGTACCAAAAGGATTTGTGGGGAAGAAACGTCTGGATTCTGCATCTCGTGGGAAAGGAGAATACAAAAGCTTGATAATTGATGATACGTATCATTAAGACCCTGAGCTAAGGCTTGTAGCGCAAAATTCCGATAACTGATTGAATGACTGAGCACAAAGAGAATAAAAAAGCCGAGAAAATTGGGTCGAATGACAACGGGCTACTGAAAGAAGTTGTAAGAGACGTGCCCGGTTGCCGCTATGGTATGCTTCTTCTTCTCGAAATTGTTTGACAAGGTAACAAAGCATCTAATGTGGAAAGCATATTTGCTCCCAAATTCCAGAAAACCGTGTTAAAGCATTGATCATTTCCAGAGAAATTTGTGCAAATGCCATAACTCTAGACGAACTTAATAGACAGCTCATGAAAAGAATACAAAGTCGAGATGCAAGTTGAAATGCACTGACGATAAGGTTTCTGCACAGTTGATGAAGAGGGTGAAGTGGATAGTTAGTTATCCGTGGGATAGTTTATTTCCAGAAAAGTGCATAGTTTTATGGCCTAAAATTATTATTGTCTTCCAGACGGTCGAAGCGCATTCACCCGGCAGGGTCGGGCTGCACTTCATCAATTCCTGTGGATTATGTGGAAAGAAGCCTAGACTGAACCTAGTGTTGTCAAAATGGGTGATTTATGCGGGTTTGAGTTGGGTATAAGTGAGTCAACCCATTTATACCAATTTAATTAAATAGGTATAAATGGATAAGTCAAAAAATGAATTGGGTAACCTAATTACCCATTTATAATCCATTTATTTTAACTTTTTGTAAATTCATTTTTGCAAACTAAGTTATTAATTTATATCATCATTTGCATTAGTTTTAAATATTTACTTATAATACACAATAAACCTAATTATCAATTGTTTTTTCATCCGTACTCTATGTTGCAAAATTACATACTATTTAATAATTAAACAATAAGAATATAAAAAGTTAAACTAAGTACTATAAAAGTTAACATAAAAACTTAATCCAAAAATTTTGAACCTCTAGCATTTTTTCGTGTGTAAATTTAAAATTTCATTTTGAAAAAGTAGGAAAAGAGGCTAAAACTCATCATAAATTGGTAATGCTGAAAAATGAGTAAGGTAACAAACTAAGAGAAAAAAAAATTGATAAGATAAAACCAACAAATAATAATAATAATGAAAAAAAAGTAGTTAACATCATGACAAAATGAAAATTTTGAAAAAAAAAAAGGCGGGGGAAGAGGGGAGGTTTGGGAGAAGACAATTCTAAATGGGTTAATTGGATTTGATGTGTTACCCAATAATATCTATTTAATAAATGGGTATTATTGGGTAACTCATTTATACCCATATGCAAAAATTTAAAATATCCATACCTATCTATTCATAGGCGGGTATGAGTAAATTTAGTTAAATAAATTTGTTTGACAGCTATAACTGAACCCAAGTCGAGAAAATGAAAATGCTGGGAATACGATTTGATCAGTTGGATATACGTTGATTCAAGAAAACTTTATTGTGATATTATCATTTATATGTACAATTTCTTTTTCACTTTCACTTTTTCATTTTCTTATTGTTGCACTTGGTTGCCCAATAATTCGTCGTGAATTAAGTGAGCAATTTGAGGGATAAAATATTTTAGTGACAAAATGTGATTAATGGCTGTTTAAATTTTTTGCCGTCATAATTGTTGATGACGCATTGGATCTGGACACTGGGTTCCATTGTTTTGCTTTCTCTTTCATGGAGCCAATTTGTCGGCCACGTGGATACGCATACGTCCCGTCTTTTAGTCTTCGTTTTCTCTCGGGATAATTTAGGTTTTGTCGCTTAGCAGAAGTTTCAAAAATATCTCTCACTCTCTTATTAATGAAATGGGACCCCAATCATTATGTTATCATTGTTGTATTTATCCGACGACCACCGACAAATATCTGCACGTGCTTCTCTTTTCATTTTTCCTGGACTATTTTTTTATTAAAGAGTTAATACCACTTTGTCCTCCAAACTTGGGACGATTACCCACTTCAATCCCTAAATTTCAAAATGGGACACTTAAGTCCCTAAACTTATAAATGCCTTCCACTTAAGGAAAATTATTAACAAATTCTGAATGTCGTTGGTGGTCAAAATATCCCATTTTATAAGGGTTTAGAGATTTAAGTGTTCCATTTTATAAGTTTAGGGACTTAAGTGGGAGATATTTATAAGTTTAGGGACTTAAGTGTCCCATTTTGAAGTTTAAGGATTAAAGTGAGTAATTGTCCAAAGTTTGGGAGGACAAAGTGGAATTAACCCTTTATTAAAACCTTTGACATTAAAACATTCCTACTTCCCTTACCAAAAAAAAAAAACCTATTTTAGGAGAATCCCTATTTATTTGTTAATTATGATCTTTTTGGTCTTTGAAAGTTTTATTAAATTTTGTTTAAGTAGATTAATTTACAATTTCTCTTACCTTAATACCCAACTCTACCCCCCCTCCCCAAAAATATTGCCCTGCAATCTTTGAAGTTGACAAAAGTTATTTTTCTTTGTTATATATATATTTTTTGTTGGTCATGATTTTCCAAAACAGAAATCATTCATAGACCACAACCCCATCTCGGCTTAAATCCTTTTTTACGCACTATTAAATGAAAAGCATGCGTACTTAAGGGAAAAATCAAATATCTTTTGCACAGTATCCTACTATACTTATTTTTTCTTTCTTACTTCATATCATAAGAAATTAGCAATTGTTGCTTAGCGGTCTCCCCTCTTGTCTATCTAAAACTCCTCTTGTTTGCTTGGTTCAATTATATATTCTGTTTGGGTAGGATATTATTTGAAATAATTTTTTTATATATTAATGTAACATTTTTATACGATACGATATGATATATGTAAAATAAAACAGTGCTTGAAAAATAAAAAAATAATTAAAAATATGTATATGATGTAATTAAATATAAATATATTTGCAAATAACAAGTTATCCAAACAAATTTGGGATAAAAATATATTGCTGTCACTGGAGACCAAAAGCAAAAGTCTTGAACCAAGAAGCAACTCAGAAACCAAAACCCGATGACCCAAAAGAAAAAAACAATTTACTACAGTTTATTAAGGCCATGCTTGGATTGCTTGTTTCCGTCAGAAAATATTGTCATTTTTCGTGATCACATTTCCCTATCACCTTTTTCCCTCACATATATCACGTCGCTACAGTAATTTTTCCATGAAAAATAACGGAAAATGCAATCCAAACACAACCTAAGTTCGTCGGGTCAACCGAGTCGTTGAGTACAACAGTAAAAGGAACCACGTGATCCTCGCCAAGTAAAACCACAAGCGGTTTAATTAATCAATGGGCCGACCGTATAAGTACAAAGGCCAGAACTCAGAACTTAGAAGTGAGTAGAAATTTTCTATTCAAAGATTTTGCGAGTTTTTTGACCAGCCGCCATCAGTTGATTGGGCGTTCCCAGCTTACAAAAACTTCACCTTAAAAAAAAGAAAAAAAAAAACCTTAAGTTGTTTCCTGGAAAAAACCATGTAGTCACCGGCCACTAACTTACCAGGAACTACTACTAGTAGAATACTCATGGTGATGCAAACGTTAACCTGATTGTGAATATTACAAAGAAATATTTTGACAAGAAATTTGTGAATGAAATTACCAAAAAAAAGAAAGCGTGTTCATTTTAATATACTATTTTGATTGAGACAGATAAACTAGTATTACTTATTTCTTTTTGTCACATTAAGAATCAAAATTCCTTTTTGATTTGACTTTAATGCTGCGTAAGTCTTGGCTGCACTGCTAAATTCCAAGTATTCTTGAGTTGGTATTAATTGGTGGAATTTTTCTTCATAATACACAAGTTGTTGGATCAACGCCTTTGCCACTAGCATAATTGACTGCTGAGCAGGTCAAATTTCGTACCATAACATTTAAGTTGTGAATGATGAAAGCGTTGGAGACTTGTGTTGCATTTGCATGCTGTGAGGGGGGCAGAATAAATTGACAGCATGAAGAACGAACTTGGTTGTTGCCTCCTTGGCATATGCTTGAAGCAGGATAGAGATTACTTTCAAACTCAAAATAGGAGAAGTCAAGAAACACGAGTGCAAAAGGGAGTTTCCTACAAATTGGGACTATAAGTTTTACATTTTGAGCCCTCACTCACCGCCAATTCTATCTCTCACTCAGAGCTACCAATACCAACAATGAAAACCGACGACCCTTTGAGTTGTTGGTCACCACTGAAGACTTTTGGTCTTGTTAAGGTGGGAGATTAAGGATTCAAATCTTATCTTTCATCAATTTGTCATCATATGCGATTTCTTCTAAATTCATACGAATGTGTAATGCATCTGTCTGATCCGATAACGGTTCAATCTCTGTCGATTTCTCTAGATTCCGTTGGACCTTTTCTTATCCTAAGATATTGGAGTAGGGGTATGTTAGACTAACTCCTACCACCGGAACAATGAACCATGTCCACGAAGCTAGCACAAGTTGGCCGGTCATAAAAGGGGCCACGTGGAGAAACTACCGGGAACATGGAAGCTTGACTGCAAATAATCAAGCCACCAAACGCGAGTGATTTTTATTTTTTGCCACTATAAAAAGACCAGTAATAGTAGTACATCTTTTACTAGTCTATAACGTATAAAAGCGGTATGTTTGTTTTATAGTAGCAAATTCGGGTGAGGTGGGCAAGCACAAACGCGATGTAAATAAAACTAACAATCCACAGAATCAGCGATGAAGCTTCATTGTGAGATTTAGACCCAACAACTTAATTTTGGCCGGAATAGATCAGCCAGTAAAGAAATCCTACTTTAGTAGGATCAGCAAATGTAAACGGTGAGAAGAATTGGGTGACTTCTTGATTATAAGATTAGCATAATTTCTCTCACTTGGAGGAATGGCTTTTGATCGTCATTGAGTGGTAATATTGAATAGATAGATAGAGTCTTAGCCAGGTGTAATCTACGCTTAATCAAAAACACCCTCCTCACTAACTAGCACCAATCGAATGACCATAAACTCTTTACTCGACATTCACATTTCCTTCAGTTTTTCAACTCTTCCGCTGTGCAATGAATCACATCTTCTTTGATTGACGATAGATAGCAAAAAATGTCACACCTTTTTTTTTATTTTTTTTGGGTGGATAAAAAATGTCACATATTGTAGTCCATAAATTTACAAGGTGATTGCTTGTGATTGAGTTAGCAAATTTAGATGCTACAAAGCGAAAGAATAGATAAAAAAATTACATTATAACGCTTCAAGTTTTAAAAAACAAGATAAAACAATTGTAACTTTACGAATATCTGTGCATGCTTTCAATCATCAAATCTGTTAATTAGCTGCTTCACATCCATATATTATGGTGAAATATGTCAAATAGACCAAAAAAATTTCAAATCTGATAATCAAAATATGAAAAAAAAAAAACTCAGATCTAATAAAAGAAAGATGAAAAAACCACCCAAACCTCTTGCTAGAAATCCCTATGAGAAAATAAAATTCTCGCTAAAAAAGTTTAAGAAAAATGAAAACTCTCACTATGCAACCCTAAGACAGGTGGAACTCTCACTAAAAAAATGTTATAAGAAATTTTATTCATACAACTAAAAAGAAATTATAGAGAAGGTTACTCAGATATGCTTCGTTAGACTATAAGAGTGGCTTTTTAACTTTTGAATTAGATCTCCTCGGATATTCTTTTTGTAGGATTATATAACTATTTAGTACTATATGTTTTGACAAATGATAATATGCCACAGCTCATTTCTTAGCTCATCTCCAACCCAAATTTATGTTGATGAGAAAACTACTCCTACTAAAGTCCAAGTTGTTGAGAACAACCTATCATATGCGCCATTGCCATCCACAACCTTTTTTTTTTTTTACGAAGAATGGTGTAAAAGAGAAATTGTGATTGTGATTTGAGACTAATTGGCTGAATTCAGTTGTTTTATGGATCCCTTTAAATTATTCGTTTGAATTATTTTTTAATATTTCTTTCCGTGTTTAATCTACCTGTGCGCGTGAGCGCGAGTTATTGATCATTTGTGAGAAAAAAAGATTGTGGTTTGAGTCTTTTGACAATGAGATCCTGTCCAGTCCTGGCCTTCGATACGGATGTAGTAATTGCACGATCATTATCGCCTGATGGGCTCACACGCAACAGGACAAACGCTTTGTATCTGCGAAACTACTCGATGTACTTCGTATATTGTATATTCTACGTATGCAGTGTAGATTGGCCCAAAAGAAAAAGAGAGAGAGAGAGAGAGATTTAAGATGTATACATCTCTGCTCTGTCATTACAGTAAATTTTCATGCCAGCAAAGATTAAGAAATCCATGCCAAGCGCATATTCTTAACTCCCAAGCGGTTAAACATGGAGATTGCAGTTCTGTACGTGTATATTATTTGTTGGCTAACGTATACCACTTGTAGCATACCAAAACAGTGCAAAGCCATCACCAACCCAACAAGATTTTGACAAATTGAGGCATCGAAAAACAAATAATGTCCTCTCGTCACGATCCACCGATATAATAAGAATTAAAGAAGTGCCGTCCTTCTGTGCTATGCTATTTGTATCGTTTGATTTCTCTTTCCGGAAACCGACTACGAAGTTGCAAGAGCATTTGATAAACTCTCGATTTTAGTAGTAGCTGTGCCTGTGAAGATTGCCAAAATTTAGGCCCGGTTTGATAAGTGAATTTTTTGAATGTTTATCTAAAGCTTTACTATAAAAATTTTTAGCGTGTATAAATTTATGAATATTTTGAAGTGTATAATTTAAAATTTTTTGAAATTCTCATAGTTAAAGTTTTTAAAAAACTTATACCAAATAAACTTGACCAATAACTTGCTTGCAAACCAGGCCTTACTTTCAAAAGTCTCACCCAAGTCCTTAAAAGTTGCTGATCTGAAATATTACTAATAACCTTGAATAAGCTAACGATTAAAAAAAAAAAAAAATCAAAGATGAGCAAATCAAAACAACTCAAAACAATTGTTTCGCCCTTAAAATAACTTACAATCAACTGAGGCCGAGAGAATTCTCAACTACGAAAAACCACGTTGAGATCAGTCTACTTTTATTTTTCTGTCAAAACAATAGGTAACTTTTATAGATTTGTAAAGTTGTACATTTACGAGCAAAGACCCGAAAGAGTTATACAATCAGTATACTTGAACACTGAAAAATAAAAAAAATGAGCTAATTACAAAAATGTGCTCCTCATCTTGTATTATGTCTACGGCATACCATATCAGCTAATTCTATTATAAAAATGGAATTGACCCTCGTCAGCCGCACAGATCATAGCCAGAAACATCCCGTCCACGCTAGCAGGAAATTTTATCAATGCCACGGCGAGTGAGTATATATGATTCACTCACGCTCGCAAGTTGGAGTGTTGGACTTGGACTTTTGTTTTTGCATGCGACGACGTAGACTTGAGTTCGAATAGCGTTATCGTCCTAGCTAAGCTAGCCGTCTATTGTCCTCTTCTCGCCTTTTTGTTTATTGATAACTAAAAAAAAAAAAAAAAAACTACTCCTGTCGTTTTTGTGGAAGCTGATGGATACTCTTTTTTTTTTAAAAAAAAAATTTATTTATTTGCATATAAATCAATTGTTTATCTCCCTGCACAGTACGCAATATTGCCTAAGTTGTAAGGATAATGAAGTCATTTGACGATCTACGAGTTAAGCATTAGGTTCCAAATAGCTTATAGGGGAGGTAAGTGATGTTTTCAAACTCTCTGTTTTTATTTTTATTTTTTTTTTAAAGCCAACTGTGACTATCCTGCCCAAAAGAAGTCCAACTGGATTTGGGAATGAGAAGTTAAACAATCAAATACCATGCAATGTTGAGGACTGCGTTTCTTTGAAAGGGGTTCGAAAAAAAGAAAGGGGTTCATACCTTGGTTGGTGAAGTAATTACCTTTTATAATCAGATTATAACAAATTTAAAACTTTAAATTTCAAATTACTATCATAATTAAGACAAACATATTGAAGAAATAGTATGTCAAAATATTTTCATTCTTTTGACTGCACTATAGAATGGAATTGAGGGCTCGTTTGGAGCTGTAGCAGCTTATTAACAAGTATTTTTTCTAATAAAGTTTTCAATAAAAATACTTATCAAATGTTTAAGTGCTTTTAAATACATTGTTTAGAAATATAGTTCAATAAGTACTTATTATATTAGATAATGTGTAATTTGAAAGTTTTTAAATGTATCTATCTCTTTATTTAGTTCATAATATAGGATAAAAGGATTAAATTTAATATTTTATTTTTTAAATTGCAAAAGCTAATCCAAAGCACCAAATTTGAGTTTTTGCTTAAAATATTTTTAACACCAAAAACTCCACTCCTAATTTTATAGAATATTGTTCACTAAATGTCTTAAAAGTACTTTTAACATCTAAAATTGCTTTTTTACTAAAAGTACTGCGATTCCAAATGGAACCTAAGAGATAGTTCAAACAGCTTTTGAAGGTTCGCAAACCACAAAAATTTTATGGAGTATCTTACCTATTTAATAACTAACTTATTTAAGATAAATCTAATTAAATCTCAAGTTGTAATATCAATTTTTTTTTAAAAAAAAAAACGAGGGAAGAAGCTTTCAATAAATATCTATGACTCCAAAGTGAAATTTGTTATTTTCGTTACTAGTTGCAAGATTTGAATGATCTGGCAAAACATAAGATATAAAAACTTAAATGAACGGATAAGAAGAGAGTAGGACTCGAGTTGACTGTCTCAAACTACCACAACAGAGAAAAATATATATTGAGGATCGTATATTTGCTTATTTCTTTAGGAGTTTAATATTCATTTCCAGCACAACCAACCCATAATATGAAGTGAAAATTGTCTTTATTTAGTATTTAACATTTTTTTTTTGGCGTAAACCGATGCAGCTAAATCACTCAGGCGCGTGGACGTTTCAACCGCTGCATTAAATATAAATTAGTCCTCCTCCTAATAATATCCATACAAATTGACAGGTAGGTTTGCCGGGAACTACTTGAGTACGAATCCCAAGCCAAGCACCACTCTTCTTCAAGCGCTCCGACAATCGACGACTCTGAACTCCCTCTGGCCATTAACCCTTGCCGAGTGATTTTCCGAGTTGACTCCGAGTCTCTAGGGTTAGTTGATGACCCAGTCCCATCCCTTATGGAGGTCGAAGCTCACGCACTCTCTTCCTTTGATCTCAACTCCTCCCCTGATAATTTCCCTTTTACTACCACCGCTGCCCGTGAGCCTCCGGAGCTCCGAAATTCTCAGCCCTTCCGGAGCTCCGAACTTCTTGGTTACTCCGAATCCGATCATGCTCCCGTACGCGAGGATTTAGGATCTCCTGTCGCCGCAGGTGGTAAATGCCAAGACGTTGGTGGCAGTGACCTTATGGCTCCCGTTTTTTCAACTCTAGACTCCGCTTCTCCGGTGGCCAATGCATTGGCCGGAGAGGAGCCTCTCCCGGAGAAGATGGGAAGATGTCCTTCGCGTGCGGCGATGAAGCTGCAGAAGGTTTACAGGAGCTATCGTACCCGACGCATGTTAGCTGACTGCGCCGTGGTTGCCGAAGAGCTCTGGTAGATTATCACAGTGATTTTTTTTTTTCATTTCATTTATGAAGTAGTAAAATATATTTGCTGGAAAACTGCGATTCCGCACTTATTTATGGTCCCATCTGTTTCTCAGTATATATATATATATATTTTTTGCTTCCAAAGTAATAGAATGCGTTATCTGCGTTTGAATTTGTAGGTGGCAGGCGTTAGATTTTGCTCGATTGAACCACAGCACGGTATCTTTCTTCAATTTTTCGAAACCGGAGTCGGCTGCGTCGCGGTGGAATCGGGTCAGCTTAAATGCTTCCAAGGTAAAAGTGGTAACTGGTAATAATAATTGTTTACTAGAAAGTGGTCTGAGAATTAATTAATAATTACCACTGTATATACTTTGAGGATTACAAATATCCGTGTAATAGTAGGAGCTAATTACATATAAATGGTGATCATTAGTTCGAAAAGTCGGCTATAATTGGAGTTTTAACATTTGTGGTTAGGTGGGTAAAGGCTTGTCTAAGGACGCCAAGGCACAGAAATTAGCTTTTCAACACTGGATTGAGGCTGTAAGTTACTGTTCCTTCCTTCCCTTTACAACTGTGTTCTCTAAAATAATCCCACCTTTAAGCTGTGACCTCTGCTTGCGGGCTGTGACCGTGTGAGTCTGATTTACCAAGTCTAATTTAGACGTAAAATGTGTTTGAGCCAATGGTTATGCTTTAATATTGATTCCGTGTAATTTGACATCTAGATTGACCCCCGGCACCGATATGGGCATAGTTTGCATCTATATTACGAAGAGTGGTGTAAAGGTGATGCTGGTCAACCCTTCTTTTTTTGGTAAGAGAACTGGGATTAGGCTTTTAATTTTTTTTCTGATTTTCACCATTTATTCAGTATGTATTTGGTCATACATGATGGCTATAATTTGTCGCTATGTCATTTGGATATTTAGTGTGTGATTAGCCAAGCAACATGCAACTGTTGGAAAAAGAACCTCAGCGCCCCGAGGGCGTGGCAAGAATAGTTCAATATGTGTCATGAAACTTGCCTGGTTCCCTCTTCATATTCTTGCTTAGAACTGTAAGAGAGGAATAAACTGTTTGCCATGCGTGGATAAGAGTTACAAGAGTCTCCCAACATGACTGTTGAGATAAAATTCTCGGTTTATACCAATAACAACATCGACAAGATTTTGTAGTCTGCAAGTTTCATAGGTCCATTGTACACTTATCAAAATTTGTGGTACTAGTGAAGAGTGATGATAATGTTAAAAGTCAGAAGTTCCACTGCAAATGCAAATCTAAATTATGCACTGTTGTGCTACTGTTTTAATTCCTCAAATTTCTGATATGTGTTCCAATAAAAACAAAACTGAGTGTTGAAAGCTTTGGATATCCATTTCCCTTGTGCAGGTTGGATCTTGGAGATGGCAAAGAGGTCGATCTCACAGCATGCCCACGCTCCAAGCTTCGTAAACAGCATATTAAGTATCTTGGACCAGTAAGTGGTTGAAAAAAAATGTTTATGTTCAATCTGTTTTTTTAGTATGTCATTAGTTCCAAACTATATTTGCATGTTGTAATCAAAAGTGGGATACTTTTGAACTGATATCTTGCAACTTGAACACTTGCAATATAGGAGTAGTATTTTTTGATGTTCTTTCTCCAAATTGTTCAAATATTTTCAACAGTTTCTTAAACTGGATTTTTTTTTAAAAAATGTTGTTACTATCAGAAAGAAAGAGAACATTATGAATATTTGGTCATTGAGGGGAAAATTTTGCATGAACAATCTGGGAAACCTCTTGACACAACAGAAGGTTCACCAGGAGCAAAATGGATCTTTGTGATGAGCACCTCTAAGAGACTCTACGCTGGTGAGGTGAGAATTAAGCCTTAAAATCAAAACTACTAATTCCTTTGATGATGTGCTCTCAAACTTCCATGTCAGTCTGTTTAATCTTGTACTGTTAATGCTGCAGAAAAAGAAAGGAACCTTCCATCATTCCAGCTTTCTTGCGGGAGGCGTTACTTTGGCTGCTGGGAGGCTGGTGGTAATTGATGGAACACTTCAGGTACAGTATTTTTCATACTTCAACCTGAAATTTTATGTTGGGGTCTGGTAGTTCCGTTAGTGGACATTAACAGGCATTTAAGGTAATTATTCATAAATGATATGATTTGAAGTATTCTTACCTTGAAACTATAAACTGGCATACCTACAAGAGTGTGGGATAAATTGATGCATTTACCTTTCTTCAAGAAAACAGACAATGAGTTGCCAGCGTATTGTTCAGAAAATTTTATTTCTAGGTTGCGTGATATGGATTTATTGTCTCGTATTAGAGGAGTGGTTTGACTTTCGTCCAGCTTGATATTGACTTGTTCTTTCAGTCAAACCCACAGTAACCGGTTGTGGTGTCTTACTATAAGTTGTCTGATACTTTTTTCACATAGCATCTGATCTGACTTGATTACAATTGTTCATTTTTGCAGTCTATATCGCCATACAGTGGACACTATCGACCCACTGATGATAGCTTTGATACTTTCTTAGAATTTCTGAAGGCACACGGAGTCAATCTGGATGAAGTTGAGGTATCTCATTTGCTTTGCTTGTTTTGCTAAGTTCTTCTTGTCAGAATAATTTGTTCAATCTACTCCAAAAGGAATTTGCACCAAGTATTCGACAGGCTAGACAGATGTGAGAGAATTCAAGATATCGATTCTTTACTTGACTCTGCCATGTTAGATGTTCCACCAATCCAGTAGCTCTACCTTAGATTCGTCATGCGCATTTGGAGCTTTCTTTGGTTATGATCTCCATATAGAACTTACAATGTTTTGCTTTGAAAATTGTGTGTTTAGATGAGTAAAGCAAATGAAGATTATGAGAATTTTGGAGAAGCGAAAACGACAAAAGATGAATCAACTTCTGAAGTTGCAACAGTTTCCGATTCCTGCGAAACTAATGCTCCAGATGAAGGGGCCGTGGAAACAATTGAAGCTCCAAAACTTGAAATTAACGTCAACTATCGGAGGACTCTCTCTGGTGGGCTTCAGAGCCCAAAAGCAGAGGTGCCCAAGACGTCAATATTGCAAAGGATCAACTCAAAGAAGGCTGCAAGGTCTTACCAACTGGGGAAACAACTCTCTCTGAAATGGTCGACCGGTGCTGGGCCTAGAATTGGTTGTATTGCTGACTACCCTATAGAGCTGAGGATACAGGCCTTAGAGTTCACTAATCTCTCACCAAGACTGTCGTCTACATCTGCTACACCCATTTGGGGTACTCTTCCTTCGCCGATTAGATTGCCTTCGCAAGAACTCACTAACGGTGATTTGAAGTTGTCCGGCATCTGAGTTTATCTAGATTGCTTGTACCAGCAGGATGCCGTTGTCATATTACCTGTGCTATCGTTCCCCTGTAAAATGACGAAAAAATGTTCTACAACCGGAACGCCGTCGTACTGCTTATTCTCATATGTTCTAGCATTGTACTTTTTTTTTGTTTTTCCACAGTTTTTGTGGAAAACGTGTCAGCAAATAAAAGAAGCCACGTAGGTGCCTCATAAGCAAATCCCATAAGGGTCGAGACACTGAATACTCACCCCCGCCCCAAAGCTCCCCAAAAAAAAAAAAGAAAAAAAAGAGGAGGACCTAATCAGCAATGGCTGGTTGGGGCCCGTGCCAACACCCTCCAGTCCACAGACTCCACACATGAAACAGCTAACGTGGGCAATGGGTAACGCGTGGCGGCAGCACAAATCGGCGCCTGGGACTTGGAAAGTGCTGCGAGGAGGCGGCGTGTAAAACGACTATTGGGGATTTGATACAAAAGGCAGAAAGAGACCAAAAACTCCCTACCAGAAGAGATGAAAATGGGGAACACCTCTTGACGACGAAGGAGGAAATATTCCTTATTAAAGAAATGCCCATGGTGATCATTTGTGGTCGTAACAGGATTCGGAGGAGAAAATGATCATGTTCGGAGGAGAAGCTTCGGCGGCTTTAGCTCGCCAACAAACCGGAATCCCCGCCAGTGATCAACTATGGGTCTTCTTCATTCCCACCTTAAATACCATCACAGCCGCCCTCTACCTGTGATTTACCTCCTTATCTTTCTCAAGTTCTACTTTTATATTTAGTGTGGTTCACTTGGATACTACTCTGTTTGGATTAAATGCTTTTGTTCACTACTACTAGTCTATTACATTTATTGATTTGTAATGCTAGACCGCTACTAGCTAACAGTAACATGAAATTTTATTTAAGAATTAATGTTATATACACTATTAATGTAAATAATATCACTATTACATTCGATATATGACACGTGCAAAATTTGAATATAAAATTTACTGATACGTCATATATCTAATCTAATCGTGATACTATATACATTGATAATGTAAATAAAATTTATTCCTTACTTAATTAATGTATTGTTTGCTACGTATACTATTACTGCGAATACATAAGGTGCAATGCGATTTTTTATAGCTGATAATTAGGGTTGGGCACCCGCCCCGTGGAGAGGTGATGGGACGGGGAAGGGGCGGGGCGGGGGCATTTTTCTCTGTTAAAAAATGGGGCGGAGAGCGGGGTAACATTAGAGGAACTTATCGTGATGGGATGGTTCTCATGCAGCTTGAAATGTATTAATCGAAAAAGGAATTCGGAGGCACCAACTTCATCTTCTCGAAATTTGGTTAAGTACAGCAAAAAGAATATTCATAAGGAGCAGTCATTTCTTTCTTTTTTTTAACCCTTTTTCTTCAACACGGACGTTTAATCCATAATCAAATTAAATACCAACTGAAATTCCCTAAACTGGTGGCCGGTATATTAAGATAGGACTCTTGACATTGTGCCTACAGTTACTCCACACAAGTGATGCTGACATTAACCATGACTTTCGCCGAACAAAATTCCCCTTCACCATCACTTTGAAAGACCTTTTCTGGTGTTGCTTGGTGAAAGACAGGACCTTTGGAACAACTGTGACAGACAGAACCTTAGGCGACTTAACCTTTGCTCTGTATACTGTTTTACCTTCCCCAACATACGTCACCGTGCGGTAGAAAATTGCAGAAATGTTGGTATTGTTCGACGTAGGATCCACCAGTTGCAAGTGCATGGAAGGGTAGTTCAGGCCATCAGTTCCTTTGGCAGGTGGGAAGCTTGAGCAGTTGCTTGTCCTGTCACCAGTAATTGCTGTAATGGCTGAGTCGTTGTATCCCTCTTTACAAAGAAAGCTTACGTAAGAGTTGACATCGAGGTCATAGACTAGCCCGGGATCCAATGCCTTTCTCGGGTTGATTTGGCCTGCACCGGAGGCTAATGCGAGACCTATTGGCTTGATCTTCATTGATTTTGCTGAGTACAATACGGAACACAGGCACGAACACGCAATTAGCAAGCTGAAGAAACGACTTGATTAGGAGTAATAAATCCAATATGGTCGATATAAGTTGCACGAGGCTAGAGCTTTAGGCAATATTAATAATTTAACCTAGATGATGGCCCATTTTTTTTTTTTACAACATCCGACTCATTTCTTACCGGTAGTCATCAGAGCAGACTTGATAGCAGCAGGAGACCATTTGGGATGAAACGTCTTCACATAGGCGGCGGCTGCAGCAGCATGAGGACATGCCATTGATGTTCCTGACAAGATATTATATTCTACAATCCGTTTGTCGCTGGTATCACCAGTCAGGGAAACCAATTGGGAATAAGCAGCTAGTATGTCGAGTCCTGGTGCAGCAACATCAGGCTGTTCATCGAAAATTCATCAGACAGAGACAAAAGGAGAGCGAACGAGGATAAAAATTAAGGATCATTTTACCTTGAGAATGTTGAGCGCAATCACTTGTGGCCCTCTGGATGAAAAGGATGCAATGAATGGTGCCGTCATATTAACTGTTACTGCCTTGTCTATAACAGCTTTGGGGGCCCTGAATTGTCAAATTGCATGTTAATTAACACTTCTTGACATGCTATTGTATACCACGCCTGGTTCACCAATCTACATATATAGTTGGATAATCAATTGAAAAATGCGTAATAAACGTACTTGGTCGAATTGATGTAGTGATCAATCAGTTCGCCGTCGGTAAAATTTACAGTGGTTGCAGGTATCAAGTAAGCAAAAGCCATGTCTGTGTACTGATCCGCTGACATGATTACTCCGACTCCTCCCAATTCTTGAATGGTGGAGTCTTGGCCTCGTCCACGGCAGAATACTATGTTGCCTCTCACTTTACTCGCGCTTAGAGTGCCATAATCACAAGCACTGCAACAGAGCATGTGCAAATAAACGTGACCAATACTATCTGGGCATGTTGCAATCCACACAGCACAATTCAAACAGATATTTTCAGACCCATAACATTAATTACCTGACATTTCCATAATTCGCCGTGCTACTATTTGCTGCACGATCGCCGTTTGTTAAAGGATACATTTGTTTCTTGGGTGTGAAAGTGTTAATAGAAACTCCCTGCCAAAAAACCAAGCCGAAGACCTTCTGATACAGTACATCAAAAAGTATGTTTTTATGACCAAAAAGAAGGCAAATTTAAAGTCTTACAGATATTGTGTTTCCTTCACCCAACTTGACGGTCGATACAAATTGTCGATCTATGCTACTAGCAGCTACAGTCATGATCCATGGGGCGACATTCTCAACGGATTGCAAATCAGGCCCGGAATTTCCTGCAGAACAAGAAGTCAAGATTCCTCTCTTCAGAGCATGGAAGGATCCAATTGCCATTGGATCCTCGAAGAACCTTCTTGAAGGTCCTCCGATGGACACTGATATGATGTCCACGCCGTCAGCAATTGCAGCATCGAACCCTGCTAAGAGGTCCATGTCGTCGCATCCCACGCCCCAGCAGACTTTGTACATGGCAATACGGGCCGAAGGCACTCCTCCTCGTGCAGTCCCTTTGGCCAGGCCGAACAAGCTCGCATCTCGAACGGGTACGCCAGCAGCAGTCGAGGATGTATGGGTGCCATGTCCTACAAGATCCACTGGACTAATTGGCCCGTCCGAAGCACCTCCTCCCAGATTGAAGTATTGTGCGCCAATCACCTTTCTGTGCATGGGAAGAAAATGATCATCGCGATACTAATTAGTACAAATTTTGCTTAATCCTAGCTTTCAACACCAAAAAAAAAATCTTGATTTTCCGTTTATATGCACGATCATACGTATGTGCCGAGATGTGCAACTTGGGGAAATTTGAGTACAAGAATAAATTTGATTTGTTACAACATCTAGAAAAATTATTTTGCTGTTTTAGTTCTTTCACCAGTTCAACTGGCATCTTAGTCAAATTAATTGGGAATTCTTAGTAGCAATATTGTTTTTTCCCCCCTTTTCACTGACTTCTCTATGTTGAAGATTAATTAATGAGAAAGTAAACCATTAATCTCCATATTAAGTCCAGAATTTAATACCTTTCTTTACTAAAAATGTTCCAGTAATATGAAATTTGCAAAATCTAAAACAAACAAAGATGACGAACAGAAAGCTTGAGGTTGGAGAGAGAAGACAAAGTTTCAAATGGTTAAAAAATGTTATAAATACAATTAAAAGATATGTACAAAACATAGTTTCATATTTCGAGTGTCATGTCATGCAAAAAAATTGTTTTGGACCGCGTATGCGTGCCAAGGAGAATGAAGTACTCCGTGCATAACGATCTCAAAGTACTAGTAAGACATATATGGTCATACAGTTCATTGCATTTTTTTTTCCTTTTTTCTTTTCCTTTTCTGGAGAGGGGAAAGAGTTACCTGTTACATCCAGTGAAGTTAGCACCCTTGGCGCATTTGCCCTTCCATTTTGGAGGTGGAGGACCGTAGCCTTCATCGTTGAAACTTGGTGACTTAATCCATATTCCTGCAATCATGAAAGTACATATTAATTTATTGAAAACTTTAATTTATGGACAAAAACGTCAGAATTACTAACCAATTAATTATCTACATTTCCTAACCTGTATCCAGGACAGCAACTATGGTATCGCTCTCTACTTGATGGTTTCTTTCAACCGTCTCCGGCATTCCAATGAAATCCCACGATCTTGTGGTTCGAAGCTTTTGTACAGTGTTAGGAAACACTGAAACGACGCCCTTTTTCTCTGCATTAATGTTGCAGAATCAACATTTTGCATCACATCAGCGATTAACTTGAAGAAAACATAAATTATTAGTACTGAAATTGATGACCGGAAGCAGCTGATTCCATGCATAAACTTACGCGATAAGCTCTTAGCTTCATGAGGCAACAGTCTTGCCACAAACCCGTTAAAGCTTCGTCCGTAGCTGTGTATCTTTGATTCTCTAGCTATCCTTTCACTGAGAGTTGAACGAACAAATCAAAAAGATTAGAGGACAGTTTGTTTTCCATCCCATTTCATACCCTAGCTAACTAAATAAATCCTTCTACAATTAAAGATGACAAATTGTGTTGACCTTAAACATGCAAGAGATGAAAACGCTGTGTAATTAATGTTAGGGTGATTACTTTCCAATTGTTTCTTGCAGAAGATTGTGGTGTTCATCCACTGTAGATATCCCCTCCTCCGGCAGTTCTCCCATGTACACGATGTATGTCTGTGGATCAAGAAAATCGTTACGTTCAACAAGATAAAAGAAAAGGACTACTACGTACGTTAGCCTACAGGATCTATAGGCAGCAGTTATGTTAGCAGTCTCCAATCACATGAGGATGAGATACTACTAAAAAGTTGTCACAAATTTCAGAAACGGAAGAATGAACTTTTTATTTCATCTTAGAGCATCATTGGGTGGTGAAGTTTAAAATCACTTTCATATGAAACAGAGCTACATTTTATTTATTCATATATTTTGTGAGGGATTCCTTAACTTTTTTTTTTTTGGTGAGAATGAAGGCATAATGTTGTTGCAGCCAGCTCTATGTGGCACATGAAAAGCCCAAACAAGTAAAGATGTACCTTTCTTTCATTGTCATTGGCTCCATTAATGAATGTAGCTAGCGAGAGATAACAGAAACATAATAATAGTACGTTGTTTGAGTTCATCTTCGCAGCCTATGCAAGACAAGAACTTTCTACTGTCCTATTACTTCTATCTCTCGTTTGATCGATTCGGAAGAGCATGTGGCTATAAGTAGTTGGTCACAGGAGGACAATTCAAAACTTCAACATGCAAGAGATGGAGAGTGGTA